CGATACATACATAAGTTTGATATTAAAAAAATTTTAAAATACCAACGATTAAAAACTATGACTTTACGCGTATTAAAAGATTATCTAAACTGGAATTATGTTTCTCGTTACCAAATACTTGACCAGCAATTTATTGATGACTTCCAAAATGAACTTTCATGGTGTTACATTTTAAAATATCAGAAAATAGACCGGGAATATATTGTAAACAATCACCAGAACTTATTACTCCACTTATTAGCAGAAATGTGCCATGTTTTAGATAAAGTGAATGAGAAAACTGGAAAAAGCTTAAATATAATAAACTAATTTAATCTATTAATGTAAAAATAAAAAAATAAAATTCAAAAATAATTTTGTTTTGGTGTTATATTATTTCATACAATTATTGGGTTTTAATTTTATTCGATATAATACAGAAACTTTGTCTTATTGTTACAAGATATTTTATGAAAATGAATTGAAAGTTTTATAAATATTTATTATCTTAATTTATTCAAGAAATTTTTTATCTGAAATTATTGCAAATTAATTTTATAATAATTAGAAAGAATATACTGTATTAATTCAAAGTTATAAAAACATTTTAATAATTAAACTTATTGTTAAAATAATATAAAATTTAAATTTAATAATTAATACAGTCTTATTGTTAAAATAAAATTAATTTAATTTAAAATTTAATAATTAATATAACCTTATTGTTAAAATAAAATTAAGATTTGTGATCTGAAATAATTCCATTCAACAAATTTTTATTTGCAATTTTAATTTATTCGATAGTAATTTATTCAAAAAATTAATTTTGTGATCTGAAATAATTCCATTCAACGAATTTTTATTTGAAATTTACTCATGAAATTAATTTTGTGATCAGTATGTGTCAAACCACTACTACTTACGAGGGACCAAGTGAAGACATCCAATGCAACATTTGGACTTTATTTGACTCTCTTCTCATAAATTGTGATATAAGGAATTTGAAAATTGTGTACGAGAGCATTTAATATTTAATTTAATAGTAAAAAGTACATGGTAAGCCTGTCTCAGTGAGTATTTCATTTCCCACACAACTGTCATGACCCCTTGACCGTCCCGACAATCGCACATAGTCGGCAGAGCCTTACACTTTTATAGATGATATTCATAAAATAATGACAGAATTGTAAAAGTTAAAAGTTTCTATGCAATTTTCATTTATTTTTCATCAATACATATTTATTCCTTCACAATTTATGTTAATGTTTGTTTATTTAAAATTTATTCATATATCAGGTCAGTCCATAAGTTTGTGCTTATTTTATGATCTTGAGAAAAATCTTGTTTCGCTGTTAAAAATGCCAGTCTAATGTGATACTTTTTACACTGAAGTGTTAAATTGGATCTCATTCATATAATACTGTTCAGAATTGGGAACATTTCAGTTGTTTATTTTTGTTAAAATGGAAGTAACAGACAAATATAAGAGACATGTTTTATACTTTTTATTTTTAAGTGATGAGAATGCTACAAATGCAGCCAAAAAATTAAATACTGTTCATAACCAAACTGTAATTAGAGTAAGGACTGCGCAGAAGTGGTTTGAAAGATTTAGAAATAATGATTTTAGTGTGGAGGATAAGGCTCGTACTGGAAGACCTGTTGACTTTGATGATTATGCTCTCTCTGCACTAGTTGAAGCAGAACCATCTTTAACAGTTGATGAAATTGCGGAACGTTTAAATTCATCCCGTGGAACTGTTCATAGACATCTACAACAAATCGGAAAAGTTTCAAAGCTAGGAAAATGGATACCACGTGAACTTTCAATAGCTAATCGACAACAACGTCAACTGCTCCACTCAAAATCTTCAACTGGAAAATTTTACCTCATCCACCATATTTGCCAGATATTGCTCCCAGTGATTATCATCTTTTTCAGAGTTTGCAGAATTTTTTTAAAGGGAAAACTTTTGAGGATGAGAACAATGTAAAAAAGGTTATTTCTGAATATTTTGATTCAAAACCGAAATCATTTTACAAAGATGGGATTAACAAGCTACCATCAAGATGGCAAGAAATTGTACAAAATAATGGTGAATACATTATAAATTGAAATAAAATTTAATTAAAATTTTTTGTTGCTTTTTTTGTAGATAAAAATGCACACGAACTTATGGACTGACCTGATATTTCAATAGTAAGTAAATTATTATACAGTTTTTGATTAATAACTTAGATCTTTCCTTCCTCTTTTTCTGCTTTTTGTCTCCACCGTGAAGGTACCAAGAGGGCTTATTTAGATGTCCATCAAGAGCTTGACAAAACTAAAATACAACAGCCATTTGGTGAAGAATGGGCCCAACATGAGTCAAATCATGCTTGAAAAATTTCTGAAAATCCAACCATGACATGAGCCTGGTTTCCTTAGAGCAGCAGATTGATGTCTTTCCCACTTTGGCCATTCAGTCATCAAATACACGGAGCATTCAAAAAGTTTCCAGAAAGCAGTTATTATTCATAAACAGAATGCTATATTTATAATTAATTGATGCGAGCATAAACTTGTTGAGACTTTTATCAGATATTTGTATCTAGCCAAATCAGATATTTTTTATTCCCAAATTTAAAAAAGATATTAAAGGCATTCACTGGCAGTTGATAGATCAAGCGAAACAGTAGTGGCTAGAATCAAAGAGCACTGATTTCTACAGAAAAAGGCTTAGAAACACTGATGGTGTGTTATCCTACAAGAAAAAAAGGATGATTTCCTAGAGCCCCCACAACAGGGCCCAAAATAATCTCTTATAAGAAAATATTTCCACAAAAAATTTCCCAGAAGAAAAATGTTTGGAGTCAACACTGCACATAGAGCCCCCATGGCCGAGTCATATGAAGTTACGTGCTACTGGGTGACAGTATTTGTTGACCAACATCAAAATAACAGATGAGGTGATACATTCATCTGTGAATGTCTGCTTTTTGTACAGAATAATAAGTCAATGAAAGATCAATGTAATGATATAAAACCAAAGGTAGTAAAATGACTGGCAAAAGTTTTTGAATTTCTAGAAGAATCACTGTAAAACTCTATAAGAATATAAATCAATGTTGATATTTTGTGTCGGCACATAAGAATAAAACTAGAAATTGAATAAAGGACACGATTAAAATTACTAAAAGTTTTAAATATACAAAGAGATAATTGAAGATAAAAATATATTATGAATGAATAAAAATGCTAATTAAAAAGTTTAATTTCGATTAGAAATTAAAAGCTAAGATACTATTTTATATTTACTTTTACTGACTATAAATTAAATTTGATTAATTGGCTTAATTTAACTATGACAAGAATGATTGATTATGTAGAATTCTAAATTGATAAAAATAAAAAGTTATCATCAAACCATTATCATTTTTTAGATATTGAAGTTTGATATGGATTTTTAATTAGATATTTTTTATATCATTGAGCCTTTTTTGTACATGGTATAATTATTCATCTACCTTAAATTTCAGTTCGACAAAATTGATAGAAATTATACATCTATTTGTCATATAGTGAGAGAAATCGATATTATATCCCAAGCTCTAGTTTAGCAATAATAAATGTATTGGTTCTGATTTCAATTTCAGAAGATAAAAATTGAAAAAATGCTTTTTTTTTAAAGACATTTTCAATCATTTCTAAAAACACAAATCAAATTTTATTTAAATCACACTGATAATCCAATTTTGATAAAGGTTAAATTAATGATATAGTGTAGAAAACAATTATATTTCTCATGGGTTTTTAACTTTTTTACATTATTTGCTTTTAATTGTTTTAATTGTTAATTAAAACAATTAAAAACAAAAAAAAAACCCTGCAAAATTAGAATATAATACATTTTCCTCAAAAAGTGTATGTAAAAATTAAATTTTAAAAACACTTTTATGAGACAATTGTTAAGGATGTTACAAATTTAGCCAGCAGATGGCTGAGATGATTAATGTGTTGGCTTGCCACTCTGATTGACCTGGGATCAAATCCATGTGGTTGAAAAACCTCAGAAATCTGTCCAGCTAGGTTGAGCTCCTCTCTCACCACTGTGAACCTAGCAAATTTCATGATCGGCTTGGGAAAAAATACCTTAATGTCCACATGGCAGAAAGAATAAAAACAAAAATGTGAATCTAACTCAAATGGCTTTTATAAGAGAAAAAATTCTTAAAACTTCAAATATTTTTGGGTTAATAGTCAATTCTTGACAATGAGCATATATCAAAAACTCTATTACTTTTAAGTGAATGATGTATGAATTGACTGCAATTTTTCATTAACAAAAGTGGAAAATTTTTACCGAACCTCAGAACTGGTGTTTTTAAATAGAAATTATTTTTTCTTTCATTATCTCATCTCTCATGCTTAGTGTTACTATTGTTATACAGTATATGAATACTGACTGAAACTAACAAGAAAATCATATTTAAGATAAATCCCACAGTATATGGGGTGCTAAGGAATGACAAGAAGGACATTGACCCAACATGTACAAGATACCAATAAAAGACAGTAGAATGCATAATGACTTATGCTACATATATGAATATTGTCTGGCTATAGAATATTTCTTTGTAAAGCATTTGAAGAGGATAAAATTATGTGAAATGTATACTAATATGTGTAGAAATTATGAGAATATTTTAATAAAAATAATTGTCTTCTGTAATAAATCTCTTTCAAGATAGCTTAAATAGTTCAGGCTATCCATTATTTATGTGTAGAGTTTAAGGAAAGGAGAGGATCACAAAAAGTATAATACTTCATTGTACTGTACATGAACGTGAGGGTGGGTGTCGAAGCATTATCTACATAGACTATTTTAGTGGTATTAGTGAGATACAAATTTGGTCTTATAAGTTTACTTAGATGGCCAGATGACTGAGAGATTAATGAATTGTCCTTTATTGCAGCAATAAGAAAAATTAACTCACTCATAAATGAAAGTACTTTACCTTCTTAATTCCAGGTTCGTCAGACAAAATATTTTTAGCCATAGCATATCTTTGGATGTATAAAGGAGTAGAAAATAGTGATGATTTATTTTCAACATCTTGTTCATTATTACAATTAGAAACTTTATTTTCTTCATCTACCTAATTAATAAATGTAAATAATAAATATAATTTTATATCAAAGTATAACACACACAAAAAAATATTTTGTGACTTACTGCATCATTAGATTCATTCATTTTTTATTCTTCTGAAATTCTGCAAATTAATTTTAAAACATATTTATGTTTCAATTTTATTATATTATTTTACATGAGCTGATTAGTAAATAAAGACTTCATTTTTTATAAATTAGTTTAGGAAGCATTAGAAAAGGCAATCAATTTTAAATAATAGTAAAAAGTGATTTATTTTCATCATTTATAGTGACACATTTTTCATACATTCAATCCATTTTAGCATTCCACATATGAAAAATTTGTCTCCTCAATTCATACACAACTTGAACTTTAGCATCCAATGGAAAGTGTTGACCATTTCAACAATTCCTTTAATTTTGTAAACAATCAGAAGTCTTGATTGATGGCAGTGGCACACCCAGAGGGGCCAAGAGACTCTGGCCCCCAAAGCAAAAAAGGAAAACACTAGTAAATTTTTCAAAACTTTTTTCTTAATTAGAATTTACTTTTACTTGTTGTGCATTCTATTACTTATGAATTAATGGTCACAAGGTGGGAATTTTATTGAACTTTCATCAAAAATGTTCTTATCCGTTCAACTCGACTCCCCAAGATTAAATTTTGTGCGCGCCACTGCTCGACAGTGCCAGATCTGAGAAGTATGGAGGATGCAGAACAGTAGTGAAACAGCAAATGACATTTAAGAACCAGAAGTTACAGGTTACATCAGATTTTAGATTTGGCAAGACATTTGAAACATTATTTATAAAAATTATCTTTGTCCATTTATCTCAGTACTTGTTCATGACTGATTAGAAATGTCTGGTAATCATTCAAGCTGGATTAAGACGAATGAAAGTATAAAGCTGTTATTTGAATTGACAATATTACAAAAACAAACTCTAAATTATTGTTTTATTGGAGTCAAAATGGTTAAAACATAAAATAAAATAACTTCTTTAGTACATTTGGACTTACGTCCACTTTCAAGCAAGATCCAAACACAGTGTGCAGAAAATTCAGATTTAGATTTTATTTCTGTCCACAGAAAACAGACCTGAGAAGTCAAAGTATACAAAAGTTATTTTATATTTTAACCATTTTGACTTCAATAAACAGTGTTTTTATATTTTGAAACTTTGAAGTGTTGACAAGTTTCTAAATTAACTCTGGACTCACTGCCAATGTTAAATCTGATTATTAATTATTGGGCAGTTTTCATGATTCTTTATGTTGACAAAACTTTAACAAATTTATGAACTAAGAACATAATTAACTATATATTTACAAAAATTACAATTTAAGATAAGTTATATTTAATTTTAAATTCAATATTTATTATTATTTTCTAAATATGGAATGCATGCAAATAAAAAAGAATCACATTACATAACTGAAATATTATATTACTTTAATAAAAAAGTTCTTTATTTATTTAAAAGATAAGAATGAAACATATTTATAGATTCCAACTATACCAAAGCAAGAGTCAAAGCAATATCTGCTGGATTATTTTTTGATCTTTTGAGAAATTTCTAAGACAAAATATAAATTTATTTTTACAATGATACTTTTATATGTAATTCAACAAACAATATTCTAATATCATTTAACACCATATAATAATCAGTTATTTGGTAAGATTCTAGCTTTGAAACATCATCACAATGCAGGGCTGCAATTTCTAATCATATTTTTAATTTATTGATAAAATATATGCTTTCCACCTCAAATTAGTTCTGTAGTGTCTTGCCCCTGTGCATCATACTTTTCTGTTAGCAATGGTGTATAAAATGATGTTGTGATGATGGTGGTGTAAAATGTTCCCATTTACATGGTCTAAAAGAACACAGTACACACTTCCTTTCTAACAATAACAACACAATTACACTTTAATGTCTCCAAATCAGCGAGTGACACTCTGGCACTCCACAATCGAGCAACACTCTGGCACCCGACAATTATTTGATAATTACAATACTGGTTCTTGACCAGCCACATAGCTACCCACTCTGGTTAGGACCCCGGTCAGTACTGACTTGATACACAACAACACTGACTCAACACACACTAAGAGAAGGGCACAAATTTTCTCTTTCTCACAATCTCTAGGCAGGACAATCTCCCCCGCATTCTTAGGGATACTATTACCTCACCCACCTGACACATGTGACAAAGCTGTGGACTGTCCATCAACACTTGCTGACATCCACACACCTGACACATGTTACAATTGAACTTAACAAATGGAGTCATGCCAGTCATCTATCTAGCTCCTTTCAGAGGAAATTTTTGAATTTAAGTAATATGACTTCCAGTTTGCATCAGAGATTCATATATAATTTAATCAAGGCCTCTGGCTCCTAAGCTTTTCATATCTGCTCTTGAATTACCTAACACCATTCTTGAGATTACAAAAAGACAGTTATAGGTCTACAATTTTTTCAAATTGTAGCCCATTGAGACAGTTGGGAACTCATCATAGCAGTTGGCCATGCCTAAAGGAGTAAAAAAACTCAAAGGCACCAAAGGTCTACATGTGACCCTTCATTCATGAGATAGAATCTGCCAAAATCAGCACATGTAACAGACTTAACAGTGTGTGCAATGTGACTGATTGCATCATAGTAATAGTTGATGCAATGACATTTTTGTGATTTATGTGCTTTTAGTCATTTCTAGTAAAGTGGACAACAGTTGATTTTTAGCATTGTTTTGAGAAATATTGCAAATTTTTTCATTTTTAAATTTTATTCCATTTTTGAGGGTCTTCAAAATTCCAGATAGGCTGATTTCGGGAAGACTATAGCTAATGGTCATACGCAGATCATCGATTCCTTTGACTTTTTTACTCCTACAGGTATGGTCTACAGCTTTCATATGGTCCCAACCACCCCATTCAGAGATGGAATCTTACTGGTCATACCATTTTATCCACATTTAGTAAATAACAAACAAATTATAAAAATATTCTCTTGTCAAAAATTAATATTTATTGATTTCCAGGTAATCACCAATTTTTGTATACCATAATAATTTTTATAGAGAAGGCTAAAAACTGGAGATTTATAATATAAAAAACTGATAATGTTAGCAGTTAAAATAAGATTGAAGATCTATGATGTTTGAGGTTACTAGAACGAAGACAGGATATAATACAACGAACAAAACTTTATCATCAAGTATGAACACGAGAGTTTTGTTCTCTTGGATTGATACAGGCTCCAACTATGAGGCAAGTACAAGAAAACAGGGGGTTTTTCATGACACAAAGATATACAAAATCAGATAAAAAACAAAACTTTGTTACAATCCTTTAGATGCCTGGAGTTGTCCAACATACATATTTTGACAGTCTGCCGTTGCGGGCCGCGGTTTTTTCTTAAATTTACCTTAACCTACTTATATCAAAATAATAGAAGACACACGTAGAAAGATGAAGGAAGAAGAAAGATAGGTTAGGGGTACCCAATTGTTTCTTCTTTTTGTTGATTTCGTTCCCTGGTGGTATAGGTGGACTTAAATTCCTTTGTCTCGCCAGATCGGTACTCTACTCGCTTCAACATCCCTATGGTAACACACCGAAAAACTCCTACTACGTCGTCTCTTTCCCCTATTCCTCGCTTTTACACTACGCTTCCGTACTCTAGTCTTCTACCGACAAAACGACCCAGAGTCTCCACGATCCGTCCGATCTCTGCCATCTACCCAAAAAGTGTCCTCCGTCCACCTTCGGACCGCCCCGGGACTTTCCTCTACCCGCCGTTCACCTCCACACCTTCGGGATTTGGGCACGAATAGAAAGTTCTCAAATTTTGGAGAACAAAGAAATTAGAGAACGATAGAAAGAAGAAAGAAAGAAAAAAAACTTATATCTTACAAACTATACACAGATTATGGCATCATGGCACAGATCTTTAGCTTCAAAAGTATACTATTTTAAAATCGAAGCTCTTTATACATTAAAAATCCTTATATTAAAATAAAATTCTAAAGTAGCATGAAAAGTCATTGAAATAGATTTGGAGCAATTGAATCTAATCACTACTGAATATAACGAATGAAAGATTAGTACAAAAAATTATAAATGCTATTCCATTAATTGATATAGAATCTTCAGATTTATAAAAACTTCTACAGGCTTCTTTATAAAATTTATTATTATATAACATTAACATTTCACGATAACATATTCAACTTCAATTTGTTTTAATTCTTTCTTTTAATGCTAATGTGTTTCAATTCTATCATCAGATTGAAAGAATTGAAACACAAATCAAATGCTGTATATAAATAGTTTTCATACACGTAATAAACTGTATGAAAATTTTTTCTCAAAACGTACAGTATACACATATCTGTCATCATCCAAATAACATACTTCCGGCCACTCTTCAGGAAATATAACCATACATTAAGGATAAACGATAATAAACAGCATAAAAAGTGGTACAATTCGAGCTCCAAACGAGACGGTCGGGGCCTGGTCAAAGCCGTAAAGCACATCCACGGGAGCGAAAAAGTCAAAGGAAGCATATCTCTACGAGAGACCCTTTGCAGACACGGCCCCCGAAATCGGGTCGTGCGACATTGCGAGTCACATCGCTCCGCTAAGACCGCGGCGATTAACTATTTAGCCCACTCGACTGCAAATTACTCGACGTTATATAGTTTTAGGGGACGTGAGGGTTCGGCCCACCGAAGTGCCCGAGTACGTACGGACTGACCTTTGGAGCCAAAGGGCGACATGTACAGCTATGGTTCCTTTGACATTTTTGCTGGTATAGGGGTCTACAATTCTCGGGGATTCGAAACCCCTCATTCAGAGCTTGAATTTTACTAAATGAACAATATATTTCCAATAGATACTATAGGTAATTTACATTATAAAGGGAAGGTTAAAAACCAAGCCAAACTTATTCGTTTTTGGCACCTCGCACATACTCACGTCACGTGGCGATGTCAACACAATTTTCCCTAAACTTGAAAATTTAATTCAATACGTAATTAAGTATTATTTTTAACGTAAAATATTTTTTAAAATATTCGCTTATATACGTCGTCCGCTATTTTTATTAAGAAAATTAATTATGTTTTTAATAATTTATTCTTCGTGTTTAGCGAAATTTTTCCGAGTAAAATTTTACCGAACGTAATTTTTATATACACTTTTTAACTTACTAATTATCTAATAAGTTAGTAAGTTAATAAAAAATTAAGGAATGTATTTATTTTTAACGTACGGGATTTGAAACTTCCATTTTAACATTACGTTATTTCCATCGCATCACATGACCTTTAAAAGACCTCGTGACCCGCTCGACCAATCAGACGGGAGATCGGTGCAGATGTTTTCCTCCTTCGCAGTCTCTGTTCCACCATGTTGACAAGAGATAAATTTGCGCTTCGATGTTAAAGAAAAGCGGGAATAACTGGACAAAAAATCCAAAATGACAATAATTCGTTCGCTTCGCTACGTGCAAAAAACTCGACGAAGTTGGAATTCTTACGTAAAGGAGACGATTGCCAATGGGCGCGTGCTGTTACGTAGTCTGTTTAGACTCGATCCAAAATATTCGGCAAGAAACAAATTGCTTGTGGTCCAGAAATCGCCGGGAAACAGAGGAGTTTTTGGAAAAATAATCGCCTTTAAACAGTCCCTCGTACAACAGATTATAACAAGATGTTCTTCCAATTCGTTTGCTGCAATTTTAAGAAGAAATGCTGTAAAAGAGTTGATGTGTGCTAATGGAATGAGAGTTCCCATTTTCTGTTTTGTTGGACTGTCCCTTGCCCGAGGCCCTTCGCTGCTGACCGAAAAACAAGAACTCGAAGCCGTTCCTTGGGAAATTAGAAATCTCCTTTCTAATTACGTGCCTTTCGTCACGCTCTCCGATTACGGTTTCTCGGGTAGTTTTAGCGACTTCGAAATCGGAAACGTACTGGCTAAAGGATGCAATGCGGTGGTGCACGGCGCACGCCTGAAGGGTTCCGCTTCCAAAGCTCCCGTCGAATCGACGGATCCTCCGACTTGCGCCGCTCTGCCCGTCGGATCCCTGGATCCTTACGATATTGCCATCAAGATGATGTTCAATTACGACGCGGAGTCGAATGCCGTCGCCATCTGGAAGGCCATGAATAAGGAAATGATACCCGCTAGAGGTGGAATGTTTGGCAAAAATGTATCCGTGATGATGGACGGAGAGCAGAAAAAATTGCCTCCCCACGCTAACGTGGTGGAAATGTATTTTGCTTTTGTGGATAAATTTCCGTTACTGCCTAAAGCTATGGAATTATTTCCGGATGCCCTTCCTTTTAAATTGAATAAAAACGGATTGGGTCGGAACATGACGCTCTTTCTGGTCATGAAGCGTTACCACTGCACTCTTCTCGAATATTTAGACAGACACAAACCCACGCCGCATACCTCTCTGTTGCTGTTGACTCAGTTGTTGGAAGGCGTTTGCCATCTCGTTCGACATCAAATAGCTCACAGAGATCTCAAGTTGGATAACGTATTGCTCGATCTCGCTCGGGGATTGGCCAATCCTCATTTGGTAATTACGGACTTCGGGTGTTGCTTTTCCGGAAAGAGTCTACGGATGCCCTATTATTCGGACGAAATATGTAAAGGTGGAAACGTAGCTTTGATGGCACCGGAGGTGATAACGGCAAAACCCGGTTTTTTCTCCTCCGTCGATTATTCGAGAGCGGATTTGTGGACCGTGGGAACGTTGGCATACGACATTTTTGGCAGTAAAAATCCATTTTATTCCGATTCTGATAAACGGATGAAAAATTACTCGTACGACGAGAAAGATCTTCCGCCTTTACCCGAACTTGTTCCTTCTCCGCTTAAGAAATTAATTAAGGATATTTTGAAGAGAGACTTTCGCCAAAGACCCAGTCCGACCTTAGCCGCCACCGTCTGTCAACTTTTAATTTTAGCACCGCCTCGCTGGACGATGCAGTACGATCCAAATGACTATCGAAAGGTCCTCGAATGGCTGGTCTGCACCGCAGGAATCACAATATGTCGAGCCGGTCGGAACGGGCTACAGAGACCCGTCGAACAACAATTGTGCATCACCTTCTTTTCTCGTTTTCAGTTATCCGAAGTTCTAGAAGCACTAGAATATATTTCTTCGGATTGAATCCATAATTATTTTTATATTTTGTTGCGTTTCCACATAGTTGTTTTTAGAATTAAAAAATTTTTAATAACAGAAATAGTGAATATTAAACATCCAGAATTTTCACAGAATTGTGTGAAACAATAGTTAATAGTTGTATATTTAATAAAGCATAGTTTGGTTTAATTTCAATGTGTTTGATTTTAAAAATATTCTGGAAAATTTTTGAAATTTTTAATGACACACTTCGATAAGGAAATGAAAATGTGCCAATTGCAAAATATAAAATGTATTTAACTTCACACGATCGTTAAGTATAATTATAAAAATTTAAAATAATTTTAACAAAAAATAATTTTATAGATTTAAGAATTTATTGAATACTTCAAAAATAAAAAGTATCGGAGTTCTTAATATATTTTTATAGTTACCATTTTAATTTAATATTTTTGAGTGAACATCAAAATGTATAAACATATTAGAAATTGGTATTTATTAAAAATATGTTTGAATGTACCAATATTAATTATTCGGTGAATATATGACAGAGTTTTAAAAGGAAAATGCTTCAATACATGTTTCTAAACTCTTGCTGTATTCTATTGATATAAAGCAGAATTTGACAGTAATATAATTTTCTTTTTGGTAATATTAAACTGATCAAGTTGCAGAAAGTTTTGTTAGTTCAAACATTCTCCATTATTAAAATATTTACTTCTTTAATGTAACTTTGAGTAATATCTGATTTAGTTTTAAAATATTAATAGATATTCACTTTGAGTTTTCTGCCCTCTTTCTACTCTCCAAGCTATTCTGGAAATACAGTGCAATGACAATTGTTTGTCATCATTTACAGTTAAACCATAACTGAATAAAAAATAAATTATTCATTATAAAAATGAAATATTAGCAACTTAAAATTATAAATTTTCTAAGGACAAAGTATAAATTAAGTATTAAAATATTGCAAAATAAACTTTTAGAATTAAAGAAAGAAATTTAGCATCTGTACTAGCATCATAAATCTAAGAATGTCATGAGTTGAATAATTTGTATAGGAAAGCATCATAAATTCTAAAAAATTGTCATCATTTCAGCTTACAAAAGGAAAAAAAACTACCCAATTGGATCAAGATAATTATTTTCTTATTTGTCAATAAAAAGATGACAATTTAACCAATGTAAAATAAATATAGAAATTTAATAAAAAAGTTATTTTTTGAATATAATTAACAATAATCTGATTTTCACTTTTAAATCAGTTATCAGATTACCATAAAATTCTTATCCCTAACTTGGTACGTTGTTAAAAGAAGTAATAGTTACACCTTAGAAATGTATCTAATTCTTAATTTTAAGATTTGTAGAACTTTCTTTTTCCAATATTTATTACTTTATAGTATACAAAATAAATGAATAAATCACGAAATAAAAATTGCTGCCTCTGCGCGACAAGTTTTATTGTTACAGTAGAATCCCGATTATCTGAGATGTGAATTGTCGCCGCCTCGGTTAACTGAAAACTTGGATAAAACAGACCGCCGTGGCCGTATTGGATTAAAAATTATAAACACAGTATAAAAAATTTATTTGGTAGCACTTTTAAGCCTCTTTTTATACTTTGTGAATTTAATTATATATAAGAATAATTTTTACATCATTTATAATATAGTTAATATATGATACAATAGTTTTAAGAATAAAAATGTTTATTATTGCAGTTCCAGTTAAATTTTAATACAAATGGTTTCTCATATTGAAGTTATATGATAAAAGGTAACAGAAAAATCATTTTGGAATGCATGCTACTGTTTTAAACTTTGTTTTATGAATTATGGTATAAAAATAGTAGCGTATTTGCTTATGGGTTCATTTCGGGTAATTATGTGGAACCTTGGTTAATCGAGATTCTACTGTATTTGTAATTCAGCAAGTTTGAAATTATTTTAGTAAAGTATTTGCCATTATATTTTATCTGTGTATTTTATAATTGAAATTTCTGAAAAATTTGATATTATAAATAGAAATTCTTTCCAAAATAAAAAATAAAATAAAAGGAATAAAAAAACAGCATTCATTTCAAAACTAATTTAATTAAATCATAAATTTATAAAAGCTAGAAGACAATTGTGTTAACAATAATCTAGCAACATTTTATTTACAGTTGTATATAGTCCTTTTCTTTATTCCCCAAATATCTTTTGTAGTGTTATCAATTATTTACAATTAGATTTGTTTCCCTAAAATGTGATGCTAATAAGTGGGGAGGGAAAAAAAACATTCCTTACATGACGATGATTTTTGTTGGTGCAGAATTGATAATTATGACAAATCAGATCCATGGAAGAACTATACTAATACAAATTTCATACAAAGAGCATATCAGCACTATGTAATGACATAATACCGCCTCAAAAAATGACAATTTTATGTTTTTAAAAAACTGTACAACAATTACACGGTAATGTGATTTAAATCCAAGATTTAAAATAATTTCTTTTGTCAAACATGCCCGATCTGCACGACTCAATTTCTGTTATAAAACAGATAAAAAGATGGAAATTTTTGCATGCGCTCTACAGTCCTGTTGGTCAGATTGGTCGAGAACACTTTTATATTTGAACCAAAAGTAATTAGAAACGCAAGTGATGTTTATGTTTCACCATAAAACTGTAAAAGAAAAACATTAACATATTATTAACAACAGAAAACAAAGTGACAAGTATCATTTAAGTAATACCAACCTGTCTAAAACTTCCCAAAATTTTAAGAGATTTGCATGATCCAAGTGACGTTTCTGTTTACTCAACTGAATGACATGCACCGCCCACTTTGCTACATTGGAATCTAATCTCATTTCGTCCCATTTGATATGAAATGCTTTCACTGAGGAGGAAAAATTATAATCAGTGCTCAAATATTAATTTTGAATTTTAGATCAAAAATCAATTATAAATTTGTTATTGATATTTGTAGTTATTTAAAATTATGTGTGCTTTTAATATTTTAAATGTTAATTGTTTTTGAATATTAATATTTAATTCAATAAAACCAAAAGTTATTGAAACTCATTAAGATTTTGAATTCAATTTTACATTAGAACATTAGACATTCATCATTATTAAACAAATTAAAAATCAAAACTTCTATGGTCTGTTCACTAACTTCATGCACAAAACGACAGAATAAAGTAGCTACATCATCACTATATACTACATAATGTATCCCTTCATGTTACCTGTCTCATTTAGAAGCAACAACAGTGTGCTAATAAAAGTGTGAACATATGATAATTAAGAAATTTAGTCCTGTAGACAATTCTTAAGGAAGAGTACAGTCTTTGCAAACTATTTCTTATGGAAATAAAGTTATAGTTAACTGATTATAATGACAAAATAAGATGTGAAGATTCAAAAACTACAAAGAACAATAACTTTATTCTAGACCTACTCTGTCTATTAATAATATTAAAATAAAATAAAATAAATTAAAATATTATACAAACAAATGCATAAACACCATCTTTCTAGAGGTAAGGAAAATTTAGTGAGTTTTAATGTTTTTAGAGTATTGTTAAAACATCTGCTATGAAAATTATGAAAAAAGTGTATTATACATATATCTATAGAAATTATATCTACTAAAACAATAATATATATAAAAAAAAGTAAAATCAAAAACTTTTCACATATAAACTCACTTGTAAGAACTCTAAAAAACATTAATTACTACTAAAATTTTTAAGTAAATATCATCATTAGACATTAAAATTATGAATTTTAAAAAAATTATAATTTTCTACAGAAAAATTTTAGACATTAAAAAAATAAAAATACCACCATACATACTTCTTGAAAATATTTCAACAGGATTTCCATCCCAAGGCCAACCTTTAAACTGCCAAGCAGGTCCCTGGACAAATACTGCAACAACACGATCCCTGAAATAAAAAATATATAGTTTTATTAAACATTTAAAATTCAAATAGCATAATATAATATTTATAAAAGTATCTTAATCTATTATAATCCTAACACAAACCATCAAATTTTAAAAATATGATATTTATTAAATTTATGATAAAAAAAAATGATGATATTTACAAAAATATCATTATTTTTTGTTAAAACTAAACTTGTTTGTTGTTAATAAATGTTTATTTACATTTGTTAACAATGAATAAGTTCCATATAACATCATTCATATACATTCTGTCAAATTTTTCATGTTCAAAGATACAGCAACTAAATAATGTCTAAGCTATCAACCTGTGGTATTTCAAGTAGATGACAAAATGATAATTTTTATTTTGTTAAATTAAATAAATGCTCTCTGTTAATTAACTTAAGAAAAAATAGAACAAGTTTTCAAGATAACTTTGAAATAATGTTATACTAAAATATATGATTTCAGAGAGATGCAATTCAAATTAATAATTAAACATTGCTCATAACTAAGAATCATTTTTAGGGACCTAGATTTTTACACAATAATACATAATAATCTCAAAATATTAGAGAACTTATTTTAAGAACTATATATAAAACATGTATGTAAAACTTATTTCTCATGCATGTAAAAAACATATGCAACAGTGACATGTTACATAGGAATCTAGGACAATAAATTAATGCCTATTATCAATGATTCGTATCAAGTGCATAATGGAATACAACAGAAAATTTTAACATGTGAAGCTTGCATGTAACAAATGCATTACCCCTGTAGTATTGTATATGTAAACTGCATAGTTACATTCTCCTATGAATAATAATGCAAAATGGCAATTTCCAATTACACAAAATACATGCGTAATGTGCAAAAACTTATTCTTACACTCAAATTAAAAAAATGAAATTGATGGTGTGCAAAAAGAAATAAAGTAAATAAATAACAAGGTAAACTGTGGTTCAAAAATTTAGTACAGTCGACTCCCCATAACGTGGATTCCTATAACGGAAATTTCTATAACGTAGCGAAAAAATTGTAGCAGTATTCATATAAAGTGACTCGTAAAATGTCGTCACCGACTCCTGTCATGACAAGATTGGTTGAATCTGGACCAATAGTGGACGAGCAGCCGAACTACTTTCCGCCGCCCAGCACCACTCTACGGAGAGTTTAGGTGGCTAAATTGAGTTTGCTATCATCTGTACAGTATTATACAGTAGACCCCCCTATAACGCTTAGATACGTTCCACGCTAACCGAAAATTACGTTGTAGGAGTGAGCCAATCGCAGCCCGATAGGTGGGAACTTTACGGACTAAGGCTGTTCGAAAGCTTTTCTTCTATAAAATTAACCGATTCTAGACTAATTCCACTCAACATTTCCAAAACACGTATAATTTTTTGGGAGTAATCCGTACAAACTATGCTATAAACAAAAAATTTTAGGATTACTTACACCGTTCGACTACGCCGTTGCTTAAAGCTGGTTTTCATCGCGGAACA